GAGAGAGAGAGAGAGGGGGGGGGGGAAGACAGGACGTAATGGTTGAGTATATACGATAAGCTGACGGTTTGCTCTGTCAGCGTGTACGTTAAAAATATGATGCAAAATATTACGTCGACTTGAGTAAATGGATTACGTTATACTCGAATAAGGTATTTTCGCTCGTTGCTCTGTGTATCCCAAAAAAATATACGTATTAAATCCGCTGACTTATGAAGAAAATCGCACGCTGCCTCTTCAAATTCAAATAAAGTATTTCGCAAATGAAATATGTCGGGAGTAAAACGTGCGAATAACTTAATAATTTTTTCATTTGGCTTTATAAGATTTAAAACGTATTGGATGACGTTTGGGAGGAAAAGCCATTCTATCGGAGATTCGTTTATTAAGCGTCAGTGATATTAAATATCTGAGGCACATATCTTCAAAGGGATTTCCCGTTCGCGGGATATTTCCTATCTCCTAATATTCCGCGTAACACGGGCGAGCTAAGAACAATCCACAAAATTAAATTCTTTTAAGTATTGAGGAGCAATGGTTAGGTACAGAGGAATACCATTCGATTCTATTTTTTCGCATAACAAGTAAAGTGTGAACGTAACGCGTGTAAAAATTTGAAAAATTCACGGCAGTATGCCGTCGATTTTTTCGCGCGGTACATATTTAATCTCCCACATCACTGAGTTAACCCTTTCTGTCTCCGAAATTTGCTGCCGTGGGCAGCGATTCATCGACGTTTTTCGTCCGTTTCGCGAACTGAACGGTTGACGTGTCAACAGATATCGGGGACAAATTCGAAAACACATTTCCGGTTAAATGAAATATAATAAAACAAGTGTTTACGATCCTATACGACCGCATACAATAGCCGTGCGACACGCAAGCGGCGTGACGGATGTCTATCCCCGCCTGCGAGAGTGGTCGTGCAACGGCAAATGGCATGTGATCTGTCCCCGGATGCCAATCGTTGGAAAATTTCGGTCGTGGTAGAATGGCTGGATCAATGTTGCGCGAGTTGCTGCATTGGCCTTCTGATGGGCAAAGCGACCACTCGCGCATGCAGTACACGAATCGCCCTGGACATTTCACTCGCTTTCGGACTTGCATTCCTTTCTCTCGCCGCTCCTCCTCATAGCATATTTTTCCCTCTACCTCTTTCTTTCTCTATATTTTTCTCTATATTTTTCTTTTTTTAACAAAATATTTTTTAATTAAAAATTGAAATCGCTAATGCATAATTAAAAACCACCGGCCTTTGAACATTTAGCATATTGTGGCGTAGATAAGACCCGAGTTGCAGTGAAGTTTGCACACACAGTTTGCTTACGTGTGTGATGACTAGCTGAAAAAAGCTAGGAACACGGTGCGGTGTCAACGGTAACGACAACGATGTGGCAACAAGTGCTTTTAACGTTTCCTAACGGTAATGCTCGTTGCATTCTTGGAAAAGTGCACGACGTGCCACTCTCAAAGAACTTTGCCACAACAATTTTGCGGGGATGAT